AACAGGCAGCAATCCTTCTGTGACAAGCTCCTGTAGACAGCTGACCAAAAACGTATGCCTGTTGCTAAAGCATACCATTATACTTTCAAAGAAAATAACACATTCCACACACTCAAACGCGGAGGATGTTTAGCAATGTTTTTTTGTGGCATGGCTGTCTGTGGCACAGGGTGCCTTAGAATAGCAATACCAAGGCATTTCGGAGAGCTGTCAAATCCAGTGTCACGGAGCAGGGTCACAGGTTCAAAATCTTCGAGCAGGACAATGGCACTTAAAAAAACCATCAAGAAATTATTCAGGACAAAACGATAGACTGTTCTGAAGTGGTCAGTAATATATAAATACCTAAGTCCTATCAAACAAACTATGAACAGATGAACAGAAAACAGTGGGGAGCACACTTGCCGTTGGGCACCGGGGCCTTCCATTCCTTATTTCAGTTTGCACTGTTCTATGAAGGGAGTAGTACACATCGTTATACAAGATATTAAACTGCTTGGCAACATCTCCATTTAAATAGTCTTCATTTCTCATATCAACAATAGAATACTGAGTTTCAGAAGAAGCAAAATGTTTTCTGGCCATTTTGAGCCTGTAATCGAACACACAAAAGCTGATGCTCCAGATAATTAACTAGTCTAAAGATGGCCTGTTTTATAGTTTTCAGAACAACAGTTTCAGATGGGTTAACATAATCCCAAAAGGGATTTCTATAAGGACCAATTATTTGTTTATTAATTAAAAACAAGTAGGTTGATTGAGAACAAATTCTCATCTGCAACAGCGACCAGGCCAAGATTAGGCGAAAATAATGTGCAGGACAACATACATTTGCACAATAAACAGAGAACACAAAAGTGCAAATAGCACTTGGGACACAATAAGGCAATACAGGGTCCAGTCAGTGGAGAGTCAATATACAGAGAATACAGGATGAGGTAATGAGGTATCAATTAGGGCTGCAACTAACGATTATTTCTATAATCGATTAATCTGTCAATTATTTTTTCGATTAATCGATGAATCGGATAAAAACTAAAAAGCATTAATATTCAACCCTTTACTGAAAAACAGAACTGACAGTGCAATTCACAGTGCAAAAAATGATGGTAGGTAGCTTCTTAAAAAGTTGCAAATCACAGGGCTTGTTTGAGGCTAGTGCGGTACACCACAGTGTTTTGTGTTGGTTAAGGTGGGTCAGTTCTGTGGTGAACAAAGGACTGTTTCTGTCTTTTGTTCTGAACTTTTTTAACGGACCATGCTTATTTAGGACAGAGAGAAATACACTTTTTGAGGAACAGCCAAGCCTCCGCTACAAAAAGGATGAGATTAATGTTCAACCAAGATATAGAGTTCAGGTTGTTCAGAAAGACCTGTTTGCAGAAGTGTTTTAGACAGTGTCTGACGGAGATGAGGGGTGGCCGTTTGACCCCGGTCCCATTACGGACACAGGAAATAAGGCAGTGATCGCTGAGATCCTGGTTATAAACAATGGCCCATTGGTATATTTAAAGGGGAAGTCAGTCAGGGCAACGTCTATGAGGGTTGCCTGGGTTGTGAATTTGAGGTTGAATCTGATAAATTACAATATAATCTGTGTGAGGTTGAGTGCATCACGCTTACAAAGTAAAGTGACTGGGGGGGTTAAGCATATCCCAGTAAAGTGACTGGGGGTTAAGCATATCCCAGTAATTGACTGGGGGGTTTAGCATATCCCAGTAAAGTGACTGGGGGGGTTAAACATATCCCAGTAAAGTGACTGGGGGGTTTAGCATATCCCAGTAAAGTGACTGGGGGGTTAAACATATCCCAGTATAGTGATTGGGGGGTTAGCATATCCCAGTAAAGTGACTGGGGGTTTAGCATATCCCAGTAAAGTGACTGGGGGGTTAAACATATCCCAGTATAGTGATTGGGGGGTTAGCATATCCCAGTAAAGTGACTGGGGGGTTTAGCATATCCCAGTAAAGTGACTGGGGGGTTTAGCATATCCCAGTAAAGTGACTGGGGGGTTTAGCATATCCCAGTAAAGTGACTGGGGGTTTAAGCATATCCCAGTAAAGTGACTGGGGGTTTAGCATATCCCAGTAAAGTGACTGGGGGGTTTAGCATATCCCAGTAAAGTGACTGGGGGTTTAAGCATATCCCAGTAAAGTGACTGGGGGGTTTAAGCATATCCCAGTAAAGTGACTGGGGGTTTAGCATATCCCAGTAAAGTGACTGGGGGGGTTAGCATATCCCAGTAAAGTGACTGGGGGGGTTAAACATATCCCAGTAAAGTGACTGGGGGGGTTAAACATATCCCAGTAAAGTGACTGGGGGGTTTAACATATCCCAGTAAAGTGACTGGGGGGGTTAAGCATATCCCAGTAAAGTGACTGGGGGGGTTAAGCATATCCCAGTAAAGTGACTGGGGGGTTTAGCATATCCCAGTATAGTGACTGGGGGGTTTAGCATATCCCAGTATAGTGACTGGGGGTTTAGCATATCCCAGTATAGTGACTGGGGGTTTAGCATATCCCAGTATAGTGACTGGGGGGTTTAGCATATCCCAGTATAGTGACTGGGGGTTTAGCATATCCCAGTATAGTGACTGGGGGTTTAGCATATCCCAGTATAGTGACTGGGGGTTTAGCATATCCCAGTATAGTGACTGGGGGTTTAGCATATCCCAGTATAGTGACTGGGGGGTTTAGCATATCCCAGTATAGTGACTGGGGGGTTTAGCATATCCCAGTATAGTGACTGGGGGTTTAGCATATCCCAGTATAGTGACTGGGGGTTTAGCATATCCCAGTATAGTGACTGGGGGGTTTAGCATATCCCAGTATAGTGACTGGGGGGTTTAGCATATCCCAGTATAGTGACTGGGGGGTTTAGCATATCCCAGTATAGTGACTGGGGGGTTTAGCATATCCCAGTATAGTGACTGGGGGGTTTAGCATATCCCAGTATAGTGACTGGGGGGTTTAGCATATCCCAGTAAAGTGACTGGGGGGTTTAACATATCCCAGTAAAGTGACTGGGGGGTTTAGCATATCCCAGTATAGTGACTGGGGGGTTTAGCATATCCCAGTAAATTGACTGGGGGGCTTAAGCATATCCCAGTTTAGGTCACGAAGCAGGAACATAACGAGAAACTAGGATTTGTAAAAACTATTTGCCATTGAAACACAGAAATGATGGGTGCTGATAATTAGCCTATGCAAATATTTCATTTAACTTTTTAATTTAAATTAGCCATTTCCAGCTACAATAGTCATTTACAACATTAACAAAGTCTACACAGTACCTCTGATCCTTTTGGTGCTATTTTATTAGACTAGAAATTGGCTTTTCTTTCAAAAACCAGGACATTTTGAAGTAAATGTATTAACAGCCGAAAAATGCGATGAATAAACACAGAGTCTAATTATTGAGTGGGGAGGTTGTCACCTTGTAGACATTATTCATGAGAGGCCTATGCGACATTTATTTTGTCTCTCAAATACACTGTTAAATGCTTATTAGGACAGATTCTGCAGCCATTTCTAGGTTATGTATAGCCTAGGCCTTGAATGATTATTGACAATCAAAAGTAATTTTTTTACATTTAGTCACTCAATATACTACAACAAGTAGCAGAGTTGCTAAAGAGTGGGCCGAGAATTTTTTGTTGTTGAGTTGGCATAATAATTGTTATAGAATTGCCACTAATAAAAATTTTGCAGCCAAAGAAGTATTATCTTAAGTTTTAAACAAAGGCATGTTTTGTTTAAGGGAAAATTATCATGTTATCAACACCACAGTGCTGTCATAAAAAGGGGTATATCAGGGAGTCACCTTAAACCCTTAAACCAGGGTGCCAACTAGGGCTGTCACTTTTGAGAAAAATCAAATTCAAACGGATATCGAATATCATGCAATGAATTCGAATATATTCGAATATCTCATGCCGTTGGATGGTTACTCAACAGGTGAGCGCGAAGATTAGATGAGGATGATAAGTAGGCTACTTAAACCGTTTTTGCAAATTCGGCAAATCACTTTATCTTTTACGGTTATTTTACCGTCTACGGTGAAGAACCCAAAATGTTTCCAGACACTACTCTTAAGATGCGATCGGGTTGTAATTGTCCGCTCTGGCTGGCCGTTATGTTCGTATGAGATGGCAAAGAATAAAATAAAAAACAAACGGTCTAACCAAATACTGTAAAAAATGCGCTACACATGGCATTTTAAAAACCGGATAGTTTATTTATAGTTCGAATACGGATATTTCAGGTCATGTTCGAATGCATATTCGAATATCAAATAAAAAGTGACAGCCCTAGTGCCAACCCTGTAATCACCAAACTAGATTTACTCATCTCGTAATAGATGTGTGCCCCTAGCAACTGTCTTATATGCAAATCAACATGCATTCAGGTCGCAACAGTGTCTGTTTTCTACTTCAAACTCTATTTTAACCTGGCATGCAATTATATAAACAGAAAAATGATCTGGGTGGTTGAGGCCAAACACTTTTTTCACAACAATCTGAAAACATGCATAAATACTTAATCCTCCATAAATATTATTCTTAAAAACATCAAACCTTGCACACCAATCCCCTTGCACAGCTAACAAATATTACAGAAAGTATTCAGCTGCCATGTTTGATGAAGTGGCTGAACACAACACAACACTGTCAAAAAGCATTAATTAATCCAGACAAGATCTCCCCAGACCCTTCAGAACCTTGGTCTTCTCTTACAGACTCTACTCTTTGACTCTCCTGGCAGATCTTCAATGAGGTTGAGATCAGGGGACAAGGATGAACATCGAAGAAGCTTGATTCTGTGATCAGTGAGCCATTGTGGGGAACTGGAGGAATGCTATTGCTCATTGTCGCCCAGGAGGATCCAGTGCCTCCTAGTGGAGGAAGGCGGAACTTTGTCTAAAAAAAACTCAGCCTATATAATCTTTATTTAACCGGGTAGGCCAATTGTGAACATATTCTCATTTGCAACGGCGACTTGGGGAGAAGCTGTGGATTGAACCGAGGATATCATACATACTAGTCATGCACTCTACCACTGAGCTACACCTACTGCTACACCAACTTTACTATGCATCTGAACCAGGCTCCAAATGCCTTTGCAAGCAAAACATCCCCTAAAACATCACATTTCAACCACCCAACTTTACAGTCATTTTTTTGCATTACAACTCACTTATGGCAAAGCTAACGCCAGTGGAGTAGCCAAAGAGCGATCTGGACCTGGCTCTGGCTCTAATCAAAGTGTCAATGATGTTTATCACACTCCAAACACACTCCACACCTCTAAAAACAATCCTACTCAAACAGTGGGGACAAAACACATTTCCTCTTCATCGCAGCATCAGTAAATGTTTCACCCAATGTGCATATGGTAATATTCAATCATTCAGGTATCTTTAATATTAGAATTTGGAGGTAACACCATGAACTCTATATCACGTTCCTCAAACCATTCCGTAACAATGTGTGCAGTGTGGCTGCAAAAGGTCACTACCATCAGGGAATACTATTGCCATCTTGAGGTGTACTTGGTCTGCAATAATGTTTAGGTATGTGGCACGTGTCAAATTAACCTCCACATGAATACCCAGCGTTTCCAACAGGACATTCCCTAGATCAGGGGTGGCCAACCAGTCAGAGACTAAGAGTCACATTTTTTACTGTGTTACCGCAAAGAGCCACATCATACACATGGGCAAAAATAAAATTCAGGAAAAAAAGGATAAAAACTATTTCAAAAGATATATTGTGGCATCTGGTGGTGGGAATTGAACCTGTGACCTCCTGCTCTGTAGCCGAGCGCACTAACCACTGCTCCAAACCGGGATACTGAGTTAATTACGGTGCCGTCGGTTTATTTACGTTAGTTGTAATGTGTTGGGTTTAAATGGTATTTAAAATAAACACCACAAACGTATAGACTGGCTCTGCAAATGGCTTTTGACTGCACTACACACCTAGTTTGTGACACATGAGTGTTTGACGAAAATTCCTTTATTGAATTCAAGCGAGGCGAACATGGACATTAAACATAAACTTCAATATAAACGCAAGAGGCCTGGCCTAGATCATCACACTCGTAATTGCTTGTTGTTTCCCCACAATGCATCCTGGTGCCATCACTTCCACACGTAAATGGTGCCAAAGTATACAGCCGTCCATGCAAAATAAAAAAATTAAAGACCAAGTGAAACAGACGTCCTTCCAGTTCCAACTTTTATGTGCCTGTTTTAGGCACTTCCAACAGTAGACAGGAGTTATCATGGGTACTCTGATCAGTATGCGACTGGTACCACAGTAGAACATTTGTTGGATCAGATCAGACGGATTGGCCTGCGCTGTATCAATGAGCCTTGGGCGTCCAACACCTTGTTGCCTGTTGTGGTTTGTCCCTCCTCAGACCTCGGCCAGTAGGTACTCGCTACTGATGACAGGGAGCACCCCACAAGCCTTGCCGTTTCAAAGATGCTCTGACCCTGGCACCAGGTCATAACAATATCGACCATGCCAAAGTCGCTGAGATCTGTACTTACTGCATCCAACAAATCAGCTACAGGAACTGATTATTCGCTTACCATCTACTCAAACTAAACCTTGACATGTGCCCTTGTTAGGAGAAGAGATGAGCAATGTTATATGGATCATCTGTGAGTGGTCAAGAAGTCTAGCAATAAAACTGGCCCCATTCAGACAAGTTGAGTATCTGGAGCATTAGAGTTTATGGGTTTGATAATAGACTCCAAAATGGCCAGAAACAAAGAACGTTCTTCTGAAACTCAACAGTCTATTTTTGTTGTAAAAAAATGAAGACAATTCCATGCAACTAGTTGCCATGAAACTGAAGATCTGGTAGAGTTCTGTGTACTTCTCCCTTCACGGAGCAGCGCAAACTGTCTCCTACCTGAAAGAAAGAGGACCGGGAAGGACTGGTGCACAACTGAGCAAGAGGACAAATTCAATAATGTGTCTACTTGGAAAAACAGACATCGAACAGGTCCTTAACTGGCAGTTTAATTAAATAGTATTCGCGAAACACCAGTGTTACTGTCAAAAGTGAAGAGGTGACTCCAGGATTGTGCAAATTTACTAGTAGAATACCATGGCCAGAAACATTGTAAATGCTGCAAATGTAGGATTCTTTGGCAAAATCAGAGTTCAAAGAAGACAATTATTATTTGAATTAAAAATCTGTATTTCTAAACCGTGAATGGCTTTATTTCGTAATTAAAATCATTCCATGTATGCTTGGAAAACCAGGACATTTCCAGGTAAACCAAAACTACTGAACGGTAGGATATTAAGATTAATTCAAATTAATTCAATAATTGTGACCCACGTTTGTAAGGATTTTCTTTTTTACAATGTTACCTCAGTTAAAGGTTCTATTTTTTTTGTATTTTATGTGATCAACTGAAAAAAAATATTTAATAGTCTTTACCCATGATTGCAATAATTATTGAGGGCATTACATGTAATATTACTGAATAACATAGAATTATATTTCTCAAAGTCTCTCCAGAAATATAACCAGACTGTAAAATGCTCCCCTTAATTAGTTTCAAACCATTCTATACAGCCTGTAATGCTATATTGCATGATTGCTAAACTAACCATTGAAACTCAGGGTGCGAGTTGAAAACAAATCACAATTCCTTAAGTCTTAATGTGCGGAATCACAAAGAAAACAAATATCTGTAATGTTGTGCTTCTTTAGCTTGTATTAGGATTTTTAGGCTATATATTCTATTAATTATTTAGTAATAAATCATTTATCTAGATACAGTGAACTTATTTCAGTGTGTACTCTGTGACAATCTCCATCCTATAAACGGCACTAAGGTCAGCAGCCCAGACCAGGCTGCATCCGTGTTAAGCAGGTCAGAACAGACATTAATGTTCACTTTCTGGTCACAATGCTTTTGAGAACACTACCTTCTACTAATGTAGCATGTTCTCTACGGATCTAAATGCTATATCCATCACTCAAATGTAGCATTATCACGTTCCAAGTTTGAAGAGAGTAAGGATAAACATACTTCAGCTTCAACACAACACCAATACAACCAAGTTGCAGGTAGGCTAGAGTGTATTAACTGTCAACATTTGGATGTCAGAGGACAAACAACGTCAGGAATAGTGACTTCTAAAAGAGATTTTGGCTAAAGACAGTATCACAGAGAACAATACTATGTAGAGTTATAATAAGCACCATATAGAAAACAAGGCCTCTGGTCAACAAAAGGCCATTTGTAACAAGCACAGCAACTGTTCAGAGGTAGTCAAATGGGTGGGATGTCCAACTTAATTGAATTTTTCTTCCAGGTGACCCTGTTGCATCCAACTGAGTCATTAGGAAAGACCATCAAATAGTGTAATAGAATATTTACCATTTCAAAAACGAGACTGAAGGGTGCGACCTGTCATTCTCTAAGAAATGACAGGTAGAAATGGGAAGAAATGTGTTGGGACCAGGACAGAAAACTTTAATAACCACCTCCTCTGCAGCAGCATTCACACAAGCAGACCAATTTGGAACAATTGGCTATAACTGATGTTTTAACACATCCCGTCAGATATTTCCACATCCTACATATTTTCATTTAGTGCTGACCTGATTGTTCCAAATACCAATTAGTGCAACGATTGGGAACAGAATCGGGTTGGCGGGTTCGGCACAGCCATACTAAACCAATGGCCTGGAATAAAGATCAAAATACAGCATGATGAGAGATATGTATCGAATGAAGCTTCATAACACATAATTGTATCTTCATGTTGACGCTAGTAGCAGCTGATATTAGCTCGCAAACACGTTTAAGCAGCTGATATTAGCTAGCCAACACGTTTAAGCAACTGATATTAGCTAGCCAAAACGTTTAAGCAGCTGATATTAACTTGCCTACACGTATAAGCAGCTGATATTAGCTTGCCAACATGTTAAAGCAGCTGATATTGGCTAGCCAACACGTTTAAGCAGCTGATATTGGCTAGCCAACACGTTAAAGCAGCTGATATTAGCTAGTCAAAACGTTTAAGCAGCTGATATTAACTTGCCTACACGTTTAAGCAGCTGATATTGGCTAGCCAACACGTTTAAGCAGCTGATATTAGCTAGCCAACACGTTTAAGCAGCTGATATTGGCTAGCCAACACATTTAAGCAGCTGATATTGGCTAGCCAACACGTTTAACTAGCTGATATTAGCTTGCCAACACGTTTAAGCAGCTGATATTAACTTGCCTACACGTTTAAGCAGCTGATATTAGCTTGCCAACACGTTTAAGCAGCTGATATTAGCTTGCCAACACGTTTAAGCAGCTGATATTGGCTAGCCAACACGTTTAAGCAGCTGATATTAGCTAGCCAACACGTTTAAGCAGCTGATATTAGCTAGCCAACACGTTTAACCAGCTGATATTAGCTAGCCAAAAACGTTTCAGCAGCTGATATTAGCTAGCCAAAACGTTTAAACAGCTGTTATTAGCTAGCCAACACGTCTAAACGGCTGATATTAGCTAGCCAAAACGTTTAAGGAGCTGATAATAGCCAGCCAGAACGTTTAAGCAGCTGATATTAGCCAGCCAAAACGTTTAAGTATACTAACCAGATCTGCTAGCATGCATACAAGAGGCATGCATTAGTGGTTAGCTTGATTAGTTAGCTAGCAGGCTGTGTTGCAGAAACCTATTTGCGCTATTGTGTTAATTGAGTTTGTCGCTAATTTACCACCCCCATTTCCTACACAGTAACTAGCTATCCTGTTCACATAGATTTATGCAAAACAAAAACAATCCGCTAACGATAACGTTAGCTAGCTGGCTATGTTAGCTACCTGGTCTATCCAGTAATCATGGAAAGGGGGAGGCAAGCAGCATACAAAAAGAGGGTGATTAGGTGCAGATGTTTCCTCCTTAGGTGGAAATGTACTACTAGATGGCAAACGTTAAGTAGGTTCTTTGTATTAATAGTTAACGTCTGACTAAGCGTTTTTGCAGCCCGAATAAGTCACGTTGTCTTACTAAATTCAGAGATAAACAAGACAGACACTTT